AGTCGAGTCGCCCCGTGATCGATGATATCAGGGTGTCACCGTGTCACCATCGGGGAGCAGTAGGATGGAAGTCAGCAGCATCAATAAGAGTTGCACCTATTTGGAACAAGTGCCATTCATGCGTCGTCGTCGTCCTCCTTTCCTTCTCTGTTGCCAGGTCGTCCTTGCTTTGGCATCGAGGAACAGGGAGCACGTCCCTTATCGACAGTCTAAGCTCACTTACCTCCTCAAAGATTCACTAGGGGGGAACTGCAGTACACTCTGTACAGCTCTGGCTCTGACCATCTTCTCACAGGGTCCGTCCTCATTGCAGCCATATGGCCGGAAGCTAGGCATTTTGAGGAGACCGCCAGTAAGACGCGGTATAGGAAACGGCAATGCTTCAGCGAGAGAGTGGTGAACCGCAGGCACGCTTCGCTTCGCCAGTCGGGTGAGATGCGTATCGAACTCGCCTGGTGCTAACGTCGACATGGACCCAATCATGTTACTGAGGAAATACGAGAAGGATATCAAGCAGCTTCAACAGGAGCTGGGAATGCACGACATATTAGCAGGACGCCATACGGTTCGGTGAGCAGTCCATCTTGAGTGTTGCTTAACGAACTTCATCGACACAAGTCCATAACAATCAGTGATGAGAAGGAATGCTTTAGATATGACGACTACAGCCCGGAGGAGGTCGAAGAACTGGAGAAACGGGTGGTGCGGTTTCTCAAGGGGGAAGATGCAGACTTCGAAGTGGAGTCCATCCAGCAAGTCAAGGAGGCCTTCAAGATAGTTCGACGATTGTGAGACGCTCCTTTTGCTAGCATTGTGGACAATTTCGGATCCGATAGATATCAGAGTATATCTAGCGAGCTATTGACATTGAAGGCGACCCAGGAACCTGATCCTGAGCAGGCCAAGAGTGACGTGAGCGAGAAGGTTGAGGCTCCAAAGCCCTCAAAGGAAGAGACGGTTGGGAAAGTCGGAGGCTCGCTAGTCCCACTTCTCTCGAAAATGCCTCCATCATCAGGTCGGTGAAGAGGTGCGAGATGGGGTGGGATTCTCTGTTGGATTGGCTGGTGACGATGGTGCTGCGGCTCCTCCTCGTGTCGATGCCGAGCATAGTGAGTCCGCGTCTTTATCTGTATCGCTCGTGAGTAGTCGTGCGCAGTTGAGACTAGTGATGATACCAGGACGGCTGGTCATGGGAAGCAGAGCGCTGAAGCCGCGCCTTCTCGGCAAACTGTAAATGCCTTCCGATGGTCACTCGGCATCTTACAGTGTCAGGCTTACGCTGAGTTTAGAAAACAACACGGCCACGCTTACGATGATCGTCATCGGGCTCTCGCTGCCCGCGCTAAAGAGGTACGCTTCCATACTGTCTCCTATTGTATCGGAGTTCAGCTACGATCTGCGATCCGGGCCCTTGCTAGTAGCTCTAACTCGACGATTGATCAGATCGATAGAATGAAACTTGAACTTTCGCGTTTCCAAGGTGAGAGGCTGTCCTTGCACTCTGGACCACCTCCTCTGCAGACCTCGGATCAGAACGTGAGACGGACGATTCTGGGAATATCATTCTGGACGAAGACGAGTATCGTATCCTGAGAGATCTGGCCGAAGCAAAGAAGGGGTTTTAGCTGCTTGGCACCAAGACATCTATCGAGCTTGTTCAGGTATCGCAGCATGATGGGAAGGTACGGAGAATTGCAGGAGGAACTCCAAAATTGCTTGAAGCAAATTGCTGAAAATAAACGAGACCTGCTGGATAACTTCGCGGTTTGGTTCCTGAAGGTAAGGAAAGTCGCGTTGTTGGCATCATCTTATTTTCAGGAGTATGGGGAAGCGTCATTCATGATCGGAAGCGACACTGCCTCGGAAAAGGTAAACGAGTGCTTTCCAACGGCGGTTCGGTCTTGCATGGATAAGCAGGATAATTTGAATAGTCCGCAGCTCGATGTGGGGGAACAGTTCGACAGCTTGGAAGATGCGAGGGCTAGGATGAGGTATGTGGCGTTACTGAATGATATACTTTATCATATCATCAGGCATCCGGACGCTGTGCCTTTCTATCGAGCAACAAAAACACGTCGGCAGCGGAATCCGAGGAAGTAGATCTCATGACTGACATGTGAGATGATAGCATCTATTTCTTGTCTTCGAAATCATTCGTGTTGTGCTGAGGAAGGTCGCGCAGTGTTTGTAATTCTATTTTCCTCCATTTATCGGATGCTCGCGTCCGATGCTTCCCAGCCCTGCGGATGCATCCTTATGCCTTGCATGGACACGCTCACATTGGTGGTTTCCATTGTGACTGGGATACTGGCAAGTGTTATTGCGGCACACTCAGTCTGATCCCCGAAAACAAAGCCTGCGGTGACAAAACATGGGAATGAGAACGTCCCAAAGCAAGTGGAATGGGATATCTCCCCGACAAGATCTAAGGGAGCAAGACTGTCGAGTACTGGACGCATTCGAAAGTAACATGTCACGCTGTAATGTTATCTGCTCGAAGTACCATCACCACCAGGTCGCCCTCCGTACTAAGACCACTTCGTATTTTGGTCAACAATCCTCTGACAAACAGTTAATTCTCTCTACTATTCTATAGGGCAAGTCAGTGCCAAGGTCTATGTTTATACAGTGTCTCTTGGTGAATACATTATAATTGAGTTCGATACAGACGTCTAATAACTTCACCGAACCATAAATCGTATGGTCCCTGAACCGGACGCTCTGATACTGTTAACATAACCTCTCTTCAATGGTCAATTCGAACAAGCTGTGGCAGATACTGTCACAACAGAACTTGGGAACGCACCACAATAGAATGTATTACTGGCACCATGATAATGCCATGACAAGCTTCATGGAAGGGTTAGCCAGGCGGCCAAGGCTACTGCTAGCTGGCCACCGGGGGGTAGTCTAGCTAATATTAGTCCAGCCTATCAGTACAGTCCTATGCGTGATAGTATATATACTATGAGCTCTATGTATAATACATAATGTATTCAAAACTCAACAATCCTATCTGCTGTGAAAAGCGAGCATTCATGTCCAGCTAGCATACGACTTCGGAATATACGCAAAGCTAGTTTGTGTCACTAAGTACAAGCCTTGTTGGCTAAATGAGGCTCAACAAGGTGGCAGCCTCTCACTTGTGAATCGGTGCAGCGAGGACACCAGTTTGTTATTTGACTGACGAATAAGGTGAGACAAGTAAGACATCGCAGATAGTGATGGTTGTCTAGAAACCATTATCCCAACAGTTCCCTCTTTGCAGAACCTGAGGGCTGCTCTGAAAAGTCGTCTTTATAGTATCATTAGCTTGGTCGTAGGTGAACTCGTGCATACCCTTACTTTTCAGCGCATCCCCACACTGGCTAATCAAGAACTTGTAGAAGTCGTCATAATCTTTCTGACTGCTTGGTGCGACGGTATAAGGGTTGCTCCCTGTAACACCCAGGTGGATAACAGCCCCCGACTGGGCACAGAGGACATATTCTCTAATGGTAAGATCCTCCAAAGCATCTATTTGTATGCAAATGTCATTCGCGAGCTTCTTGTGATAGGCGCCTGATGGAAAGGCTCCTGTGCACCAGACAGCACCCAGAGCGAGGATAGCTAGCAGGCTCACCATGAGGATTATGGGAAAAATGAACAATAAGGCTACACAGGCAACAGTCTTAGTTCCATACTCAAGCGATGCAAACTAGTGTGTAGCGTCTTCTTGATCGAGCCAATCACCACTGGTGAACAACCCAACACTGGCATCGACGCTAGATGATGAGTTAGTCATCAGAAGATGTTTACAACTCGCTATCGGAGTTCAAACATATCCCGGTGCTACCGAGAGCAAAGATCCTCAGAAGTCTCCCTCATTCCGGGGTCCTTCTGCTCTAACAACATCGATCAACTCGCGTACTTCACGTAAAACGCTATCAATGAACAATATTCCGCACAAGGTTTACACCGTGTAAACCTGCCGCACAGCGTACACGGATAGAATCCATCCGATAGATCAACGATAAGAGTAGACAGTCGTGAGCCTCGAGCTCCGTGAGCGCAGTCCCCAGGGAATGAAGTTCTACAGCATTTCTCTCGACTTGTGTGCCTTACAAATTTAGTTTTAGGTCAGATTCACGCACAACTTCATAAGGGGGTTTCACGGGTCATAGAATATACCGAACGGCGAAGGTAATTCTGGAATACGGGGATCTATTTCGAGGCTGGAAAATTGAGTTGCAATCACAAACGCTGCCGGAGACATGCCCACTGTCAGTGGATATGGCTCAATGGGCCATTGAGGATATCAAATCCTACTGGACACTGCATAAAGATGAGTCTGTTCAATAGACTCATCTTCACAATAGGATCGTCAAAAGATACTCTATTGTGAATGAGTACCTGTTCTTGGCTCTTCCAACCCCGACGGGGAGTGTCCTGCTCCAAGCAGATCAGCAAGTGAGATCCATTTCTCCACTATTCTTCCTTCTTTTCACCATTGTTTAGAGAGATTTTATCGATGGAGAAGATTTGCAGAAATGCCTTCTTGAGATGGAGTACTGGCCGACTTGTCGAGAGCGCTGTCGACAATGGAGATATTGAAACTCCGATCCATTGAAGTCCAACATTCAATAATCGACTATGCTACCACCCAAAGATATGCCTTAGCAGTGAAATCAGTTTGCATGAGCACGCGAGACTGTCGCGGTTTGATAGGACCTAGGTCCTATCGGATAGGAGGATCATTTTCATTGGCAAGTAACTCCCGGAGTTGAACTTCGATTTCAACCGGAATTCCCTCCATTTCGCCCACTTTCTCCATTTACCCCTTTTTTGAGAACCAATATAGCTGGGGATAAGACAAACTTCACTCGTGATTCACAATGAGAGTCGTCAATCACTACACCTTTTAAAGGCCTATTTCGCGTTTGATAAGATCAATTTCGCTGGGCGAGCAATCATCCGAGCCAAGATATGCCTTAGTAAGATCAATTTCGCCAGCGCGCTCGATAGAAAAATCAATTTCGACGACACGTGTCATTAGTACAATCAATTTCGCCGGCATGTCTGAAGTAAGTTCAATTTCGACGAAAGGCGGGAATCGATTTCGCTGATAGTATACTGATACACATACTGTCACGACAGAACTTGGGAACACACCACAATAGAATGTATTACTGGCACCATGATAATGCCATGACAAGCAGCGTATCTTAACGTGTTTCGTTGCTTTCTCTTGTACTGTCATATCTCGATCAGTCAATTACCATCAGTAGAGGTGAAATTTGAACGCGCTTGGATACCTTTAATTCCATCAGGGGAGGTGAACATTTTCCGAAAACGAAAAGCTGTCGATCCCAGAAACTTCAAGTTCGTTGAAACATCATCAAGATCATGCACCCAATGTCATTTACCATAGTGTAGTGACTCATCTCTCTTCTCTTCTTTGAACTCCTCCTTAGTGGTGCCCACTTCCCGGCCCTTTTTACCGCGTATATTCTCATAGGCCTTTTTCGCCAGACGCTCCAGATGCCGCTTGGTCTCGTCGGGCACGTATTCCCGAGCGTTACGACGATTAACTCTTTTCGGGAAGCGCCACAGGTCTCCCCACATCACTTTACGGGAGAATCTATACCTACGGACAGACCAAATTACCGAGGGCAGCACCGTTACTGCCAACTAGTGACGTAGCGTTGAGTCTAGCATCATCCGAATCGAACCGGTACAAGACAAGTGCCACACTGCAGACATGTGTTACAATAGTGCGTTATTGGATACATTATACGTTTGTGGATGACAAGAGGTACATGCATTCCGTTCACAAAGATGAGCAAGTTGAGAGGTAGGTAAGCTCACCCCATAGTGTGGGGCTTGGCTTTGGAGACGGAGAGCCTCTCAAAGTTATTCGGGGCACTACAAGCATCGACTAGAGTATGGCCACCAGCCTTTATCGGAGGCATGAGAAGTCTCGGCCAAAAATAGGATCTTTCGGCCGCGGTCAACGCATCCTCTTCCTTGCTGTACTTTTGTCGTGGACCTGAGATGGAGGAGAGCATTCCAGGGAGGCATGATGAAGGGGCTCACCCTCTCCTTTCCTGACCACTAAGAAACTGAACTTTTCCCACTCAACATGCCGCGCTTGAGAACCCTTATTATAAACGTAGTGAGGAAGCCTCTTCCTGACAGAAATAATAACATCCCATGTGATTTTCGCGAGCTCATTCTCATGGTAGAGCGAAACGATTGACCAGGTATGGAAAGAACCTCAAGAGATTGAGCCCTTTACGCCTTAGAAGGTCCGGCATGAGCGGAAGTCAACGTGAAGGCGGATGCGAATACACAACTTACACGCCTTGATGGAAGTGGCACCAGTCTCTTCCAGTGGTAGCCAGAGGGCACATAGACTCGTGAGGACAGGGCGCCACGAAGTGAAAAGCTTTATTCCTGAGGTAGGGTCACTGATGGGAGCTGCATAAGAAAGTCAAACTCACGGGAGCTGCATAATGAACAACTCTCGAATATGATGGATGAACCGAAAACCAGTCGGCGTCCCGGCTTCGATGACGACCAACACTCCTCCGTCTTCTAATCGGTTCCATAGATTCCGTATCTGGGACCACGGATACAGGAGCAATGATATCGACCCGACAAAACGCATCAGGATTCCAGAGCGGCCCCTCATAGGATTGGAGGGAGCCTTCGAATGATCCAAAGGATGCTGTTCGACACGAACTACCAGCAGATCGCGGGCCTCCTGTCCCTTCAGGTGCATCAGAACATAGCTAACAGTAATGATACTTTGCCTCTGATTCTTGCCATCATATAGTTGAGAGCTCCACTCGACATTAGCAGAGTAATCGGAGAGTATGTACCTAACCCGTCAGATGGATGAGTGCCACACATGATTCTCGTCGGAGAAATATTCAAGTTGAAAGTGTCAACAGCTGCCTCGGCAGCAGCAGTTGCCAACTGATGATCTTTGGAATCCCTTATCAACAAACTGCGAGTCAATTGACGCTCAGCAGGGTCATTCGAGACTATGAAGAGAAACTAAAAACTCAGCTTGATGGTTGATTAGGACGAGATAGTATATAACTATCACAACGTGATAGTTCCGAACTGTAATTCATACAGTCACAGTACATATGAAACCTGTCCTACGGAACTTGTGCGGGAAGAATACATTCCTATGGCTTGCTGCTCACTTGCCCATCTGCTTCATGTGTAAACTCGGTTCGACACAGACGACCCGTTTGATGAGCCTCTGTCCCCATACATCTGCTGCGGCACACACTGATGGTGCTGGACCCGAGCCATAATCCAGTATGGATCTGATCGGAGGCTTAGCGAGCTAACGAAAGTCTGAGGCTATGACAGAAGTAACACTACGTTGGTTTGAAGTCTGGACACCTCTTCATAACCTCATGGAGTACTCTAAAATTCACAGCATAAGCCGGAGGGAATCTATGAGGCCGAGCTGAAGTTTTGAGTGGACATCTGGCAACCTACCGATGAGCCAGATAGGCAACTGCAGCCTCAGGGGAGTAGAACTGCTGGTAGAGTCGATGACGACTATCTTCAGCATGAGCAATGGACAACCGCTGCAGTTCCGAAATCTCTTGGGACTTCTCGGGCTGAGAAAGACTCATCATGCGTATCAAGAGATCCGCACAATAGGCTACATCGAAGAGCTCCGGCATGGTATGTTTCAACTCTTGGAAATGTTGACCTTTGGTTATGCGATCAAGCCGACTTTTCTCCTTGTCCTCTTCCTTCTCTGGTAGCTGCCAGTGACAACGGCACAGGACTACAGCAGGACTGTCGGCGTATCATGAGTCATTACGAATGCACTCGAGAGGACTCTCGGTAGTTCCGTGCTGCTCCTACTCCTCTGCCGTTGCATCACATAACGTGCGTAGCGTTCCACGTCCTTCTTGTTACCGAAATCGCGTAGAAGGCGGATAATCTAAAGCCAGTGAGCGGAGCGAAATTCCACAAACCCGACTTTAGCTTTCAGCAGTGGATTGAGAAAGTTGGTCTTTTGAGAGCACATAGCTAAGTTGTCGAGCTCCACGACATAGAGGGGATCCAGCTCCGACGGACTTCCGAAGTGGCGGTCAAACTTGAAACTGCCAAGTTGGAGAGATGAGATGACCGAGCGACAGCGGACGCCCTACCCTCGAGTGATCGCCCTGTTATTCATATGGAGGTCGAACCACTGAACGTAAGGGTTGCTCGAGGCGGCCTCATCCTCGGCTCCCAGATACCCTGACGGGAAGACTGAGCATTACATTAGAAAGAGCGTAGTCGTGGTAATATAGACTGCGAATACCGAACCTAATACTACTATCACTCGCTCTACCACAATTTATCCTGCTATAGGAGACAGAAAGAGATTCTTACAAGTCGAGCCCCCGCAACCTGTCTGGCAGCTGCTACAACTCGATGATGAGGAGGAGTCCTCGGACACAGGACAGCTGTGAGAGAACAGCCGTCGCGATGCAGCAGTGCAGGTAAGCGACTGACATTGGGAAGATTTCAACAACATCACCTGAGCAGCTAAGAGACTCAATTGGTCGCCCAACTGCGCAACACTAAGAGACCCAACAAAAAGGTTTGCGCACAGCAGGCGACAATGGTGAAATAGACATCCCCAGCAGTGCACTCATCAGAAATAGGCAATGTCGTCTCCTTGACCCACATCCCACTTCACGCTACTCAGCTCCGGATTGCTACCATAACAAGGTAGCGGCTGATCAACAAACAGACCTGCCATCACTCCGTCCCTACGACGGCAGCTCACCTGGAAAATCCGAACATGAGCGAAATCTTCCGGGCCGACCTTAATCTTAACGAAGTAGTTGGTGCCAGCAACCACCTGTAGCGCAGCCAGAAATTCCACGCGGCTTTGAAAGGCCACAGCATCGCCCGTGCCAGTCGAATTTCCGACACGGCCCTAGGAAGAGTCGCCCTTTACACGGCCTCACCTGGCTTTTGTATGATATTGGCTCGAACTCAGTGAAAGCGGCGTTCGCCTTGTTGCTCTGTTCCATGGCTGGACGGAGCTGTTCACACAAGCGCCTCACCGAATCACTGACAGGTCTCGCCTCGCTCAAGCCTCCACATATGGGTGACATACTGGGAATTGAGATAATACTAATACATAGTTCAAGGGGAGCTATGGTCACAACCAAACCGACAAGGGCACGCTGATGAAACGGTAACGGCGGAATGTTCAAGACACGGAAGTATCACTAGTTCAGCATAAGGTGATGAAAAATACTATCCTAATGAGACTCGTTATTCTGGGGTGAGTGCTGCTGGTGCCCACTATCGTTTCTAGACGGCGAGGTCGCAGCCTCCAGAAGAGCCCGCAGCTCAGGGAATCTCGACGACAGTTCCGAACTTAGATCTGATCAGGACATCTGTTATCACAAGCCATTCATGAACAGTGCTTCCGTCGATACAACTCAGAATACATACTGCAGGAAATGCCCAGCGTCCCTTGAAATCCCCTATATAGTACCCAAGAGCTGCTGGTGATCACCGGACAGCCTTCCCACTGCCGACCCCAACAAAGCGTTCACATCCTCTAGATTGATGCCCCCTGGGGGTTGAGCCGCCTCTCCCTCTCCATCCGTCCCTCGAGGGTCTCCCGACAACCTAGACCAAGCACCAGAGAATTCCGAGGGGATGAGCTCAACTGCTCTACCATTACCCATGGGTTGCCGCGTGCTGATGTGATGGAGATGACGAATGTTCCGAGCTGTACTGAGGCTCCGCAGTAGTGAGCTGAAAAAGGAAGTCTTGTCAATACTGTCACAATGCCGCACTTGTCGATACGATTACGAAACATAGTCCTCCCACGAGAGTACCGTTTTAGATGTATTAGCATCTTCCCCAGAGACTCCATCATCCTCCACTGCAGCAACCACCTCATCGCAGCCCCTGTTCGGCTGTTGTACTTTGTCAGGAAGCGGTATGACGCACCCTGTAGGCACTTTCCGGGGCTCCTACGACAAGACCTTCACCAGTTATGGCCCAGTGCCTTCCTTACCTCCTCTAAAACCACCTCGCCGGCGTCAATCTCCTCTACTCTATGAGCAACCGAAGGCCCGTCCTGGTCGGCGGGCATGAATCTTATCACAGGAGATTGCCCATCACCGTGTTGTTGACCTAATCACACAGTACATTCACGAGGTCCCTTTGATGGTGACACTAGTGGGAACACAACAAGCCCAATGTCCTCAATCGTCACACGCCGACTTGGTTACTATTGATTCCGTCGCTGTCTCTTACGCGCTTGTTCAGTGGACCCCTCTGACGCCCCTTCTTGACCAACACTCTCATCCGTTAGTCGTGCTGACCGATGAGCTTCCTCCACATGCTCTACGCCACGCTGTCGATCTTCTTCATGCCGTTCACTAGGCCGACCCTGCTCAGAAGTCGAGTCCACCTCAGCAGCTCCCGTGGGTCTATAAGGCGTCAACGAAGGTGCTGATGGCTCAGTAGCCTAACCGACGACCATGATTCCGCGCTCAGTGAGTCTTCAACTACCTCACTAGTCCGGCCCTCCGTCTGAGGGGCATCCTCTTGCTCTCTAGTCCGTACCTGGCCTTGGCCCTCTGGGTCGAACATGTCACACCACGTCCTGTTCACAACCGAGACCATCATCTCGCTGGTGTCGGTGAGTTCCGCCAGCATTCGTGCCAACTGAGAGACGGCAACAGCATCACCTCAAACGCTTCCCCCCCCCATTCACAACCCCTACATAAGCCAAATCATCCTGCCTCTGCGGATTCGGGGGCACGTCCGAGCCTCTCGAGGCATCACTTTGCAGCTGAAGAACGACACTGGTGTTTATGTTAGTGGTGAAGGTATTACCATCAGACTGACATCACCAACCATCTGGGCTGCCGAGAGCAACAACCTCTGGTAGTTCCGCAAAAAAGTAGGCAAGTCGTCACTGCCACGATAATGCCGAGGGCCCGGCAGTTGCGCTAAATCTGATAGAAAAATTGTAAACTGAGTACTACTGAGATCTGCCTACGACTCATGAGGTGATCCACACGAGCGTCCGAATCGATGAGAGTTCTCCACGGCAGGCCAGGGGTCTGCTCAGCCCTCCGTTGCAAGTCTTCTTCCCGCGCACCATGAGCTCGGCTGACCGGAGCCTGTTGGGCGTTAACAGGAATACGATCTGATGAAAATACCGCAAAATGCACACCAGGCGCTAGGACCACAACAGGACTACTAGAATCTGTCATCACAGCCTCGCCGCTGCCTGTCGACCGCTGTTGTGTCGTTGCAGATGAACGCGTAGCACCTACCAGCACCACCTTGAGGTCCTCACTAGAACGTGTACGCAGAAACCTACGCCTTGTGAATACTCTGCCTCTCGTACGTCCATCCTGGCTCCTACTTGCGCTGCTCTCGCCTCCTCTCGGTCTGAATAGCACATCTCACTAAACCCCAAGGAGACCCCTCTTACAGCCGTGCTGACTGCGAACGTGGGCGAGAAGGGGGAGTAGATGGTCTCCCATCCGCAGGGGTGGAGAAGGTAGCTGTGACGGAGCCTCCTCCTCCAGCAGCAGCAGGCTGTTGACCAGCAGATGCCAGATTCCCAAAGAGCTGGGAGAGGCCACTTATCATCTGTTGTCTGACATGAGAATGAATATCTCACTGAACATGAGAAGAATGCGTCCTACACTCCATTGCCCCCACCACTGGTAGTTGTTGTAGGCTCCGGCGCTTCAGCGGTACTAGTGTTTGAGGCCTGACGAAGGCGTTATTAGTGTTAGCAAGCAAGCAGTAGGTCACCTGTTGGTCGGAAGGACCAGGGGTCGTTGGAGTTGGAGTCGACCTCCTCGGAGCCGACGCAGATGAGTCGCCCGAGGGTGGCTGTGGATTGGTATCTGGAACGACTAGTACTCCTCATAGAGTGAGAAAAAGGTCGTTACTAGTAGCCCCAGAGGGCATGGGGGATCTGCCGAAGATGCCCCCAAAGGGAAGTGGTATCGCTCCGCCTTGCTGTTGTTGATCGTCACCAACGATCTACACGAAAAGCACTCAAAACGACTATAATGTAAGAGCCCACATTCTGTTACCTGCCCAGTCGCTGGGTCCAAGTGGAAAGAGTGCATGAAAACCTGGGTGGAACCGGGCGCACCATCATTGCCACCTACTCCCCCAGGGATCACAAACTGACCACTACCAGAAAGGAGGCCCGGAGGCAGCATGGCGCTGAATATGTTCCCTGAAAATGCAACGGTAGAGCATGACTCTAGCTCATCACTACTAACACTACCTATTTGCGGAGGGACATCATTGTTACCTCCTCCTCCTCCAGTGGCAGATTCAGGTGCTGTCGTTGGTGTGGTAGATGAATTAGCAGTAGCATTTCTCAGAGTTGATACAGGCCTTACCTACAGGCTTATACTACTACATGGAATACCCCCCCCCCCTTCTGGCGACTTACCACCATGTGTATCGTCTGGCCGCTCTCTGTGAGGAACTCATCCAAGTGTTTGTGAGGCTCGTGGGAGATGACTTGGCCTCTAAAAATGAGGCGTTGCAGCATGGGATCGATCTCTGCCTGAATGGAGACGGTAGACTAAACACCTACAAGAATTGGTCTACCTCCCGATGTATCCGATCCATGAGATCCGCCACGGTCTCAGTGTGTGGGTTCACGTTATAGGTGAGTGTGGAACCGTTCATTCTTCGCACGTGCACGACCCAGGTTCCATCCTCGGCTGGGGTATTTTCGTTGCTAGTAGCGGCAGCAACGTTGGTATTTCCCATAGAAGTATCTTCGGATGTCAGTGACTGTTTGTCAGGCGATGACGACATGGAAAAATAAAATGTACTACAAGATTCTTCACCCGAGGTTACCGACTAAGATACGAAACATGCCCGAAGCGAACAGAAACATGATTCCATCGCCACGATCATCAACACCATTTCTGAGCGCCGTTGTTGATAGCAAATATAACCTTACCACCAACTCCCAGTTCGATGCACTCCCGATGTGTCATGAACCCCTCTGGAGTCTGCATTATCCACGTCCCTGTGTTCATCCTGAGCCCCATCCTAGTCGGTACAGAAAGCCCACCCACACCCTCACCCAGTGCGCTCCTTCAGTTCGTGAGGCAACAGCCATATGTCCCGACTAGGCTTCGACACTACTTGGATGTTGCGTATCACGGGGGCAACTGAGCAACTCTGTAGCCTTTCGAATGGATTACCCCACGGTAGCCTACATTGATATCTCTTGAGGAGGATGTTAATACGATTACCCTCTACTACAAACCCCCGTATGAAACCTTCTCGTTGCAGCAACTTGAGAAGGTGGACCTGAGGGGGGTATATTCAGATCACCCTGGGCTCAACCATAGATGGTATCTTACGTTCATCGTACTATATGGACATCTCTGTACCGGCGCTGTGGCCGTCAGGAGGCTCGTTACCATCTCGCACGCTTTTTGCATTTCCGCCGACACTCCCACGCTGGTTAAACCATACGAACCACGTGACGTAAAGCCGTTCCTTCCTAAATTAGCGCACGCCCAAGTAATCGATTGATCTGGCCCCTATGGAGAAGTCTTCTCTACAGGCCTGCAACTCACAGCTGCCCAAAGCAGTCAGCGCCCTACTAAAGTACGTCGGGAGCTCCTATATGCTCGTCACAGATTTTGCTGTTATCTTCCATGAGAAAATTTAGACTCTGAAGAACGTTCAAATGCTCTTACTGCCGTCTGGAATGCGTCGCGGAAAATACTCAAATTTCCATACAGTAGTTTGACAGACCTGAATACCGTTATCAGAGCGTTGCAGTGAAACTCCGGACAAGTATCGGACATGATCCAGATCTTACACGGTTGAACCTTAGATATTCTGCAAAGAAGTCAGCTGAGAAGGCCACCCAGGATCTATTGGCTGAGGAGGCCGGCGATACCGTCACTCTACAGATCAATGTTGATAAGATACAGGGGAAGGCCGACAACAAATATCGACTGATGTAGTATCTCCTATGGGGATGGGCTCGTCAGGAGAGGCATTACTCTCAGACAAGTGCCTCACTCTATTCACGGCAAGAACGGCGTTGAGGGACTCACAGTTTGCCTCATCGCACGGGACCCAAAACAGACAGCTCAGAAGCTCGTCGCTAAGTATGCAGCCCCTTAGGAGGTATCCCTACTTGCTCTATGTATGCTACAGATACAACTTACCCATTCACAAGATAGTCACAATCAAGGCCCTCCGGTCGAAGTAGTAGTAGGGGGGCTCCCGACTAGAGTCATCGTCTATGCTACTATAGATACGCCGCTCGCTTTGAGCTCCTCCGGGACCTCGCCAATGCCCATGATGTGTTTCTCTGTGACTCCTCTGTATCGGACATGCTCCCTAACCTCCTTGGGAAGTATTTCTTCCACCATAAGAAGCAGAAGATACCGTAATTTCGGCGAAATTTGGTATCACATTCATTCTCCGCTTCTACTAGGGTTCCCGTCAAGTGGCCCACGTCAGTCAATGTCGATCCCACTAAGCAGATCGAGAAGGCCCTCAACAGTATTCACCTGGGAAGGGTATCATTGCCAGTATTTATTCCCTTTGGAAGGTACACGTTATCGTAAGAGCACTGGAGCAAGCATTAGCGTTCGTATCGGCAACACTTCTATGGCAAAGGAGTAGGCCAGTCTTGTTCTTGCGTGCTAGGGGGGATTCACTTCCACAGGGACCTTGTCGAGAATGCGAAGGTCGTCCTTGCTAACCTATCGAGTGACATGCTCTCGGCGAAAAGGAAGATCCTCAGTGTTGGCGTACAGAGTACGGACTCTATAATGCTTCCAGTGTGGGCGGCCAGGGCTACGGCACCGGAGGAGAAGCAGAAGGCTGAGAAGAAGGGTACTAAGCGGGTTCGGTTCGAGGAGGCCGCTGATGAGGAGGAGGAAGAGGATGAAGACGTTGGCAAGCTAAAGCTCTCTGAGGTCCCTGTGGGAAAACTGGAGGAGGTAGGAATCGAACCGGGGATCTATGGCTTGTGATGCACCCGTTCGTGCTCCAGAGGCGTGAGAAGAAGCGAGCGGCTGTTGCGGCTGAGGCCCCTCGGAAGATATCGAAGCCAACTGAGAAGAAGGGCAAGAGAAAGTCTGCCAACAAGAAGAAGCTGCGTACTAAGTAGGGCGGCGCATCATCTCACCTGAGCCCCGCTACAGCTAGATGTACCCTATCGGCCTTCTGAGGCACTGTCCTTGTATCGAGTAACGTTTCTCCCACGTACCTCGTCAATTGATTGAGTTCAAGTGGTTCGTTGAATGGTTATGCATAGCCTCTATTTTCGGGTTGTCTCTGTCACTTGCTCACCATGAAGATCAAGAAGCCCTCGAGGAGACAAACGCTGAATAGGAAATATAACATTCAAAAGAAGGTTGGATATTGGTACTCTACTCAGTGGTCGCCATTGTTGTTATTGGCAGGTCAAAGAGCACAACCGTAAGGTGAAGAAGCAAGCTCGGGTGGCTAAGAAAGTCGGTGTTGTGGTATCGAAAAAAAGGAGAGATCCTGGGATCCCTAATAGCTGGCCTTTTAAGCAGGAGGTAAACTCAATGAGATCTCGGGATAAGATGATTCTATACTAATACCATCCATGCATAAGACTACATAATATTTATGTATATTTTAATCACATTTACAGATCAACATTAGCACTATCATTAAAGTGTGTTCAGTACAGGGGAGGTCCTTTGTGTAGGTGTTGAATGATATGGAGAAGCGGAAGAAGGAGGTGGAGGCTAACAGGAAACGCGAGAGAGAGCTACGCAAGAAAGTAGGGCATTTGCGGTTGGAGTGGTATGGATAACTGAATGCTGTATGTGGTAGGGCCTTCCTGTCCAGCCAGTGGTATCTAAGAAGAATCAGGACAAAGTAGTGAAGTCTCTCGCTGAGTTGAAATCCGAGGCGGAGCGATGCACGAGGTGATATAGAAGCATGGGACGAAAGCGGACCTTGTGTTGGCAGGCTCTACGATAGATCAGCTGATGCCCTCATTGGCTCGTCGTCCTCTGTGCGGGACATGCACAGTGTCAGCCATCTAGGAACCAACTCAAGGGAGGTAGTTTGGCAAGGTCTTGATCGGTGCAACCCCTCTCCCTCTTCAGTGTTGGGATATATCGTTGCTTTCCTCGCTAGTTATAGGAGTTTACACATGAATTCGGGTGGAAATGAACAAAAACCAACGAGAATTTTCGGAAATTTTCTTATAATTTTTATGATGTTACCAACACATGTAGGCATATTCCTCCTTTCTCCTAGGCGCAGAATACTCGGAGGGCGTACTATAGGGAGCTGCGGAAAGTGATGGGAATGGCTGATGTCGTTGTCGAGGTAAATAGGATCGCCTTTGTCACTTCTGAGGAAGCGTGCCATGGAAGGTATTGGACGCCAGAGATCCTATGAGTTGTCGATGTAAGAGTCTTGAGGAGGAGGTGCTGACTAACGGCAAGAAGGTCATCCTTTTACTCAACAAGATTGGTAATTTCCATCATGTTTGGTATAGGTCGATGAATTCTCTCGAATATCTCAGACCTCGTCCCTAAGGAAGCAGTGCAAGCGTGGTTGGCTTACCTTCGTAAGGACTTCCCCACTATCGCATTCAAGGCCGCTAGGACGTCTGGGGACCGTAGGAGACATAGAGGGTACTTCGTTGGGTCATTTGCTGTGCCCTAGGTCAAACGGGTAGAGCCATCGCCGCTGAGACTGCCCCCGAGGGGTTACTGAAGTCCAGCTATGGTGTTGTCGGAAGCGATGCCTTGTTACAGCTGTTGAAGAACTACGCTAGGTAGCAGTTTTTTATGTGACATAGATTGGTGTATTTCTCCTCTACTTTTCCTCAGGAGTGTTGGTACTGGTCGCATTAGCGTTGGTATAGTCGGCTTCCCCAATGTTGGTAAGTCGTCTGTTATCAACTCTATGAAGGGTGTGCATCTCAAGACTGGCAATCGCGCTGGTATCACTAAACAGATGCAGGAGGTTCAGATTGACAAGACGGTGAGCACTGGTGACAGCACTGCTGGAATTTAGTTATAGTGTATTTTAGGTCAGCCTCCTGGACTGTCCTGGTGTGATATTCTCTGGCACTGAAGAGTCTGCTAGCAACACTTCCAGTTTGGTAGTAGAGGCCTCTATCTATGTACTGTTAGTGTGGTGAGGTCAGGTTATACGGCAGTCAGTGAACGTGGACGCCCTTGAGGACCCCATGCCGGTTGTGGAAGCGTTGGTGAAGCGGACACCTCGGAATGCCGTTTTGAAGCACTTCAAGGTGGGTTTACTGAGGGAAGGGGGGTGCATCTCGTGACGATATTGGTAGACAGTGTTGGAGTATATGTTCACTTTCCTCAGCTGAGCGTAGGAGTTTCCTCACTAGTGATACAAGTTTACATACGAACTGGGGTAGAAACTTCCAGAAATTTATAATTCCTGCATTGTGACCAACATATGTGGTTGACCATGTGCATATTTCCCTCCACACTTTTGGGTAGATGCCTGCATTTGAGTCGGTGACCGAGTTGGTCGGACATGTATGTCGGACGCGGGGCAAGCTCCGTCGGGGTGGTGCCCCTGACTTTCGGCAGGGGGCTAAGGACGTCCTAAGGGAGTGGACAACTGGACGCCTGCGGTAGGCATACGTGGAAGTGTATAGTTTTACCCTTTTTCCATCAGATTCTTCTGCATGCCACCTGCGGCTGATAAGGGCAAGGTCTTTGCCAAGGTGGTTGCCGCTGCCAGCCCTGAGTTTGACATTGACGCGTTGTTCAGCCAGGTGAGGAGGGCAAGCAGGCTTAACCACCCTCGAGAGTCCATCGTCGTTGTGTTAGGCTGATACTTGTGCGGAAGCAGCGGCCGGAGTGGAGCTGAACGGTTCGGCTAATCACGCCGCTCAGAGTGGTGACATGGGAATCGATATGCTAATGGATGATACTGATAGCAGCGAGGAAGAGGAGGAGGATGAAGATGAGGAGGAGGGAGCACCCGTGGGTCCTGTTGAGGTCGGTCGTGATGGAGACAGAGTTGGTGTTAGATTCTCATTGATGAGGCCACTGAGGAGAAAAAGACTCCGGCAAGGCCGCAAGTGGAAAAACGGATATTCACGGGATTGAACCCGCGTGTGAATCGGGATATCAAGAAAAGGACGAAGGAAGTGAAACGTAACGAAGGGAAGAAGGAGAGGAGGCAACAAGCAGAGCAGACGGAGGTGAGGTTATATGAAGAGCATCAAGGCGGCTACACCTACTACTCTTTAGGCATCTGACACTGCTATGGATGATGACGATAGTTATGACTTCCAAAGGGACTTCAAGTGATTCCTCTTAGTGTGTATCATCATCATCATTGCGAGGCAAGGATTCATCAGCCGTCACCACCACTACCACGTCCGAACAATATCTATACCACTTCACGTAAACTCGTTTCTCCTTGTATACTGTTTTGGACCTTTGGTTGGGGTGGATGTCAATGTGGGGGAGATGGGTCTGTTCTTATAGGGCTCCATTTTGTAGTGCTGAGTCATTTGGGATAGTGCGACTACCCGCATCGATATGTGATTATTCCATTGATATTGTTGTGACCCTAGGGACGGTGGACTCGACATAACAATAATCACAATCTAAGTGAACATCATATCTTGGATGGATCGCACAGAAGGAGACATAACAATATGCTGCCGTCCACTGTTGCCTTCTTTGTCTTAGGAATCAACGTTCTTATTATGACGAATGTTTGTCAACAATCTGGTATGCCGGAAGTAGTTGCTGAATGGTATGGTGGTGAAGGCTGTTCTATCTGGCTGGTGGATACTCTCGTTGCACTCTACCGCCACCGTATATCGACCTGATCACATACCACTAAGAATTTTCATGCGATGCTGACATAATCTTGCGTGAAAAAATCACATTCTCGTAGTTCTCTCTGACGCTCTTATACTATTAGCCCCATCTTACTATTTCCCGTCAACAATCACACGATTATACATAGATTTAAAACAATTGGTAAACGAATAAGGATATCTAGCCAATGGCTTGTCTGATCTAGAAATAGAACCCCCCCCTCTTATCGACGCCTATCATGAGTATAATAGAGGCATTGGTGAGCATCGTCACCACACTGTTCGCTCAGATCGGCTTGAATGGCCTCGTGAGAGCTAGAATAGGTGGCCGCTTACTTCGTCGCGGCTACTAGACACTCTGTCATCCAGATACATAACTGCCCGGAAACGCTTGCTTCCTCCAAAGGGTTACCGAGGAGTCTGGGCTCGAATGCCGCTCCAAGGCGCTACAGGTCACATCGGCTTGTAAGAGTTTCCATGCATCTCACCTTATTGTTCCCGTGAATGAAGACGCCATATCTAGAACTGTCATGTTTCTCTCTAACGCGGCCTATGCTTGCCTTGATGAATTGGGTTTGTTAGTGATACTACCGTTTGAATGACTAATTGGTCTCTGTCTCGAAGTGCCGTTATTTAGTTACCGTTGAGACACCATTGGCTCATCAGCCACGCTGGCACGATAAATTGGGTTTTATAGCATGAATGCTTGCTGAATATTCAGGGGCGGCCTTGAAGGCTCACTACAATGCCGAACCGTAGTACAGTTACGGTCTACAGCCTAGTCTGTTGTGAGAGTCTGGAATGGTGGGATATCAGGAGCGAAGAGTGTTGGACACGCTTGGAGAATATGATATTCAATTTGGTACAAGTGGCGCGCCCCGGGATCGAACTCGGGACCTCTATAGATACACAGAACGAAGGTGCTGCAGACTGGTGAAGTTCTCTCTAAGGTATGTGGAATAGACTCGCTAGGATCGCAGATTAGCAATCCTATTTGGTAGGTGCCTGTCAATTGAGGGAGTGATAGTGATGAATGCCAGGGTGTAAGGCTCATGAGGCGCAGGCACTGTGAGGTCAGAGTAAGGATGCGCGTCGACGACAGGCTGCGATGGATCATTTCCGACGAGGTTACGTTTTCTCATGATATACGGATGAATATTCCGCCTGGAGCACACAGGTTTACCTGATGAGTTTCGTGGCGCGGTGACGATTCTTGCAGCAGGCACAATCGATGGCATCAGTGATGAGATCCACCATGCGTCTCTGGTGTTTTGTATTTGCTCCTTGAAGAAATGCTTTTGGTTGTTACTGGTGGGCAGTTAGCCGTTATTATAGTTTTATAAAATGCCCTATTACGACCAGAATTTTGATTTCATAGCCGAGTATGCAAAGACGGGCCGATCCCACTGCCGTGCTTGTCATACCAACATCCCGGACAAGGCACTCCGACTCGGGCGGATGGTCCAGAGCCCTCACTTTGATGGGAAGGCCCCTACCTGGTAACTATCGTGGCTGAATACCACTACTACTACTACTACTACTACTACTACTACTACTACTACTGCTACCAGAGGTGTCCAGGTACCATGCGAAGTGCTTCTGGAGAGGGAGATCCCTGCCGGCTTCCATCTCGGACATTTATGGTTTCTCTTCGTTGAAGTTCCCGGACCAGGAGGAGATCGAAGCACGTATAGGGGTGATGCTCGCCACCTCTGTCCTCATCGTTGGAGCCGGGGGTCCCTCCCCATTCCTCCTTCTTATGTGTTCAGGGCCGAGGTGCTTCATCGGGAAGCAGTTCTTCATCCTCGATCGGACTAAGTGTAGAGTATGCTAAATCAAGCCGGTCGGAGTGTCGTGGTTGCTACAAGCTCATTGACAGGGGAGAAGTCCGCTTGGGGATCGACGGCACCAAAGAGACGGGTCCGACAAGCTGCTGTTACCTCTAGTCGTGAATGTCTGTGGCAGGTTATGGCTTCAACGTGGAAGCCACTGATTGGCATCATGTGAAGTGCTTCCTCCAGCGTGGGGACTTTTCTACCATGCGCTTGTCTAGTGTAGACCAGCTTAGAGGGATCAACGGTTTAGATCCTGCTGATAGGCAAGTACTGCAGGCAGCTATTGATGACCGTAATGGAGTAGCGAAGACACCTCGAGGTGTTACCGTGAGAATTTTGTGGCGCGCGAAAAAGTTATGGCAGGTCCCAAGCGGCAAGGGACTCTCAATGCCAATGTGGGGAAGAAGGGGCGTAGCAGTGTTGCTAGCGGAGCGGAGGAGGTAGGTTAGTAATACTAACTTAGTATGCAGCTCTCTTGCCGCACTGTCGTCGACCTCAGAGCGTGGCGGCCAGCGGCGTGTCGAAGGCCAGGCTCCGAGAGCAGTCGGATCGGTTGTTTACAGTGATGAAGCTCCTCGAGTGCCTCACTCGATCGGACCTCCTTGATGAGCTACAGGTTCGAAGGATCACTCGTTACCACTGTGATGCATAATATGCATTGCATATGCTAGGCTAATGGTTACTGGATGAAGAAGGGAGGGGAGGATGATCTGCGGCAGATAGTGGCTGACTGCGTCCTCTTCGGTATACCGGATCGATGCCCTACGTGTAACAGTGGGCGCTTCAGGTGAGACCAATAGAGAGGGGGTGGCCTTTCACAGACTCGTGACGACCTGAGTAGAGCGGTCGTAACTGTTGGTGGTTCGTGGAGCTCCTGTGCTTTTGCATCATTGTTAGAATGAGGAAGCATAGGAAGGGGCTCTGATTCGATTGATCGCCATTCCTTTTAGGTTACACGGTGAGAACTATGAATGCAGTGGTTGGATAAGCGCATATACCAAGTGCACTGAGACCACGAGGAAGCCGGGCCGGAGCCTCTGGCGGTTCACAGAGGACACCCTTATGCTGCACCCAGAGCTGTCGCAGTTGATGCCCTCAATAGGTAGGTTGGAGGCTGTATTGTTGCAATGCGATTGGTCCGTAGGTGATCGACTTTTCGCAACTATGGAGAAATCAAGGGTGGCCAAGAGGGAGTCTGCAGGTGGACAGGACGAGGTTCAACCTGCTGAATGGAATCGTGTGGGCGATAGGACAAATACGCCTTTGAAAGGTATCATGCCGGGATCGAACCGGGGACCTATCGTATGTCGTAGGTATGATAATCGGGGCGATTGGCCGGTTGAGCCACACTCGACCTCAGCTGAAGCAAATGATCTCTGAGGGTGGTGGCAATCTGCGAGACAAGGTTGATGGAAGAGTGAGTCGTTAAACCCCGGGAATTTCACTCAAGGCTGGGGGCTGTCTTTCCATAGGTTAACTTGGTTATATCCACTGTAGCGGAGCTCGAGAAGCAAGCGGACATATACGCTAAAGCACGGCGCTCGAGGCTTCCTGTGGTGGATGAGGCGTTCGTCCTGGACTGCTTGGACCGGAAGGAAACCTTGCCGATGCAAGGATATCTATGCCATCCTGAAGGTAGTTATTCATATTTTCGAGGCCCTCATTGCGTTTTCAGAGACGTCTGGCTTCCTCGGTCACAGTGCAGGGCGAAAGAGTGTGGCTTCCACGCCCAGTCGCTTGTCGAAATACTCAAAGTCGAGTGGGAAGGAGAAGTTGAGAGTAACGTGCATCGTTAACTTCACTGAATGGTTTCGTAGTCGGAAATGAACTGGTTAATGATAATAATAATATGAATATTGGGAAACCACTGTGCTGATCGGTGGTAAGGACGCGAGGTTTGTAGGTGAAAAATGGTGTGGTCGTACACGACGAGGAGCTCGCTGAGAAAGCACACATTCTGATTGATGGCAACGTGAGCTGATCAATTCGCCTTTGGAAGCACTTAGGCTGATTTTGTAGGTGGTGTATAGTGAGACCCTCTCGAGGACGGAGGCAGCATCTGGTACGAACAGCTATTACATTATGGAGCTTTACGAGGCCGACCATGGCACTGGCTATTGGATTCACAGGTCTGTCGAGGCCGCCGAGATCTGTCGTGCAGTAGTGGTGGTGACTTCAGGAAGTGGGGGCGTACGGGAAACGATGCTATTGGTGGAGAGAAGCGTGAGAAGATGGCTGATAAGAAGAATGCTATCTCTGCTTTTGAAGGGTCAGATGATATGCTCTGTTCATGGGGCGTATCTGAACTGTTTGCTACTACACTTTTTCAATCTCAAATTCAGCAAGTGAAAGAACGAATTACGTAAAATGAAATTTGATTTTAGTAGGAGGAATGAAAGTTCAAATTCGAATTTCGAAATTTGAAGTTTGGTTTTCGTAGACCGCTCGGAAATGAAATTTCAAATTTCTTTCAAGTGGAATTGATGAATTTAACAATAGTTAAAAGTAGTGGAAAATTGGAATAACTACGCTTGGCCTTGCATGGTCCGCTGAGGTCCATGGTTCCCTGGTAGGCTATTTGAGGAGAAGACAGGGAATCCCTTTCATGAGGTTGCCGCCGGTCTGCTGCCTTTCGAAATGCATCCTGGCAAGGCGTTCCGATTGGATACCAAAATTGAGAAGGCGCCTAGTGATGGTAGCTCTAGTCCTCTCTCATTGGCTCGCCGTAAAAGTAGGTGCTCGGGGCCTGTATGAGGGTCAGCAGCTGGTGCCAGGTCTTACGGATGGTTCGACCCTCCCGAAGGCTATTGCTAATCTGGTCGCACTTATTTGCGACATCGATGCTATGGAGCAGGAGCTTCGAGATCTTGACATTGATCCGGATAGGATGCCTTTGGGTCGGATCTCACGGAAGGGCCTCACTGCGGCATTCAGCGTCTTGCAGGACTTGCAAGTGGAGTTGATGCAGCCTTGTAGGGCTCATTCAGGGTGTTGTGGTGGCGTTGGAGGTGATTTATCAGGTGGGCCACGGAATCTTATATTAGCCGACTTGACCAACCGCTTTTACACTATGGTGCCACATAGCATACCACCGGGTGTGCCTCTGCCAGTACTCGACAATGAGCATATCATCGATCAGAAGGTTAGTGCTGGTGGGGTTTCGGGCCTCCTAGGGGCTGATGTTGGTTCTAGGTTGAGCTGGTTCAGAGCCTTATGGACTTGGAGCTCTCTTACAGCGTTGTCTCCGCCCCGAGTGTGAAGGGTGGTGATCCAATCCGAGCCAAATACAATCAGCTGAAGTGTGGACTCAGCATGGTCGATCGGGCCTCGTTGGAATTTCAACTCATCGAGGAGTAAGTGCGCCACCTATAGTAATCACAATGAACATCGTCTGAGCCTCTAAGAGCCTTGTAGAAAATTTCTCCGTGAGCCATCTTGCTTCTATTGAAGCATGGGAGAGATCACTTGATATGGAAGATCTAGTCGTAAGCGTTCGATTCCTTCCGACCGTGAGTTTTCGCCTGTAGTTTATTTCCTGAGGGACCTTGGGTCACCGTCGGTGGTGGTGAAGTTGAATTTCTAGATACGTTGTTAATACCCACGGGCCAACGCATACTACTTACAAGCTGCATCTCATTAACTGCTTCCGAGTTGATCGGTTTGGAGAGAATGAGAGGTTCGAACCCTACTCGAAAGAACCTAATAGGATGCTACTATGGCACGGTTCGAGGATGACCAACTGGGCTGGCATCCTACCCGAGGTCACTCGGCCGGACGAGGCTTATACCATTTTCTATTTTGGTTGACTCAGGGACTGCGTATAGCCCCACCACAAGCGCCCGTCACGGGTTACATGTTTGGCAAAGGAGTGTACTTTGCTGATATGGTCACCAAAAGTGCCAACTACTGCTTCGCTTCGCTAAGCGCTGAGACTGGGTTATTGATGCTATGTGAAGTGGCGTTGGGGAAGTCGTAGGGAATCGCAGTTATTCGCGGTCTATATTCTCGTTGTAGGTTGGAGCTCCACGAGGCACTCTTCGTATACGGCGATGGCCAAGACAAACCACCCCAGGGATTCCAAGGTCAGTCTCAACTCTCATCCCCAGTGTGGGAGAATATGTTCATGGTCTACTACATGTGTTGGTGACAATTTTTTTTGAGGAAAAATTGGAAAAATTGTTATTCGTTTCTGTACACTCTTACCCGATTTCCTGAGCTGGGCTGAGGGAAACGATCATATATTCCTCCAACCGCTGCACCGTCATCGGATGTACAGGTAAGAAGCTTCCAAAGACGTACCGCAGTACCAAAGGTATCGGTGGTACTTGCCCAGATCCTGCTAGTAACTACATCACTCCTGATGGCTGCATCGTGAGTCGAATCGATGCCCTCGGTTGTCTCAAGCGTCGTTGTAGGTGCCTCGAGGCAAGCCAGTGAAGAACCCAGCTCATAGAGCCAACGGCTCCCTCCTTTACAATGAGTATGTTGTTTATGATGTCTCGCAGATAAGATGCAAGTACTTAGTCGAATGCAAATTTGAAACTACGGGAACGATGTGGTGACCGTCGTTGATGTCCAAATGTCATTGGTTTTCAAGCGATCTTTCGCTGTGTTGTTGTTACTCACCACCTGTGTGGGAGTGTAAAGGTACCAAACGAACTCTCGTCAGTGGGCTGGGCCGTCCTGGATGACCGTATTATGAGGCACCTGTAACCGAGGTGCCTGACATCCTTCGGAATATCGCGCATGCGGTGGCAGTCTGGAAGGTCTTGGAGAACTTCAATGAACTTGTAACGATCGAGGACCCGATATAGCGAGAGTCTTTGAATACTCTTCCTTCTCGTCAGGAAACCTTCCGTGGTCGAAACTTTTCGGTTGGATACTAGGGGGGGCCTTTGTGTGTAGAGGCCTTCATCAGCCTAGTTATCAGGAATAACGCCATGCATGTGCTATGTCACAGCGACCGTATGAGTGGGAGTGTTGTCAAATTGGGCAATGTCAATACGAGAACTGCCCCAGACAGTTAGTGTTCATCGTTCTTATTTGATATCGTATGTTTCCCACTCGCAGTATAAGTTCTGTGACAGTTTCAAATCCCACCTTTAGAGAGAGGACTAAGCCGGTAAGCTGCGGCTGAAGAGGTCTCCATGTAGGAGTCGACAGTGGTTGTCGTCTTCAAGACGACGTCTTGTCATACGTATGGCAATCGGGATACCCATTGCCGGTTCTTATCAGTGTAGCCGAGGCGTCTCATTGTTGTGCTGGTTTCAACGGATTTATATAATGGGATGTAGAACTATTATGGTGTAGCTGTGTATGTAGCGTCGAGCTGATATGCTACAGTAGTTTGCCACTATTATAATAATACATATGCAAGGGTATATTTATAAGGGTATAAATCTATCGATAATACACTTGCCATTGAGCAGTGAAGGGGTCTAAGATCCGATATTAGCATGCCGATCCCTCCCATACACTTTCATCACGCTATTCAGGGAAGGGTAGCACCACTGCTCCGGGACTACGCGTAAGAACCACGTCAGGTTCACCATCATCATCATGATCACCAAGCCGACCGCAACCTTGGCCCTTCATCCCTCAAAGCCCATAAGCATCGCAGAAAGCTTCGAATGAATAGACGTAACATGTTCCTTTAGGGGTCAAAGATTCCCTTGCTGTGATTGCCGGGTGCTCAGGGTACCGACTCAAGTGGCACAAGTACCATGGGGATTGGCCTTATCAAACTAGTCAGTGGCCAGCACGTCACAGCTATCTGCCGCCAGACTGGTTTCAGGTCGGGATGCGTTTTACGTGATTCCGAGTGGCCCTGGCGGCGGGCCGGGCGGCAGCTTCCTCACTGAAAACTTCGCATATCTTTCGCCTCCTCTCATGAAAGTGACCATACATTCTCCAAGTATGAGTCACCATCCTCACAGGTCCCTCTCGATCTCGCACCGTTTGCTACACGGATGGCGCAGTTCGGGTTGGGGGGTATCCTAGCACTAGAGCTTCACTGTACCGGAGTAACCACGAACTCAACGCAACGACATACATCGACTTTCATGTGACCATTATAGTGTTTCCCTTCAGTGTGTAACACTCTTTCTGTGTCCACTCAAATGAGCCTGAGCTGTGTGTTGACTAGTCTAGTGGATGTAGCATGCCTCTGCATCATCTACTGCATGACCACCATATCACAACACCAACAGCATTCGGTTCCCGTCACCATCATCATGACCACCATCGTAAGCGTTGTATGACTGGGAGAGTGCCGAACTTTGATTCAGCGCCGAGTATCTTCATCATTCCTAGTGGGGGTGGTTGTGGCGGCGGAGGAGGAGGAGGAGGAGCAATGGGAGTGAATCCTTTCATGGGCCCCATCAAGGTCTCGTGGGCATCATCGCTATTGAACAAATGTGCCCGCGACTCCACTCAGTTACCCAACATGGCGCCCCAGTACCACGACCATGTTCGGCATTACTACGGTGCCTCCGAGGAA